TCATCACCATTTATTGGGACTGACTGACTATTTTGACAGAAGAGATGGTCCTACTCAATGTGATGACACTGGGGAATTATGGAGATGGAGTCAGATCCTGAGCCCTGGGTTTTACTGGGAAATGATTCAGCTTTCCTTATAGTTCTCTGGGGGCCACAGCACCCCATGGGCTGATCTGATGCTCACCATTGAAATGCAGCCACTCACAAGGTGAAGAGTAGCAACAAGTAACACACTGAAGGCCAAGCGAAGTTCTTGGCCAAGGACAGAGCAAAAAAGATCCAGTATTTTAATGTACAAACACTGATCACATGAGATCTCTCAGGTAAACAGCCAGGACCCACACTCAGCAAGTTTTGGGCAATGCAGAGAGGTCCTATGTGCCTTCTCAGCCTTGATACCTCCTGTGCTTTATGGCAAGCCTCTTGACATTTGGTGTTGATCGGAAAGCCTGATTTCCTGCAGCCCAACTCTCAGCTTGCATTTCATGCGAGAGAACAGCGTGTTCCCAGCCCTGCCGATTCCAGAGGAAACAAGCCCCAAGAGTACCTTAAAGGCTTGGACACAAATAGCTTCCACTGTGTATTATTTTCAAACCAGTCTCATGATTTTACAGGCCTGACTCATTCCGGGTAAATGCCGAGGGTTAGTCATGTTAGTCATCCGTAGGCAAAGAGGAAGGACCTCACTGGACTTACGCCAGTGCCATTTTTACCGCTGTTTTAGGGCAAAGAGCTGAGCCAGAGCTGCAGGTCCCCAACTTTGGGATTTGTCCTCGGACCTGTTAGGGGGCACACCAGTGAAAAAGTGTGGATCCAGATCTTCTGTGCATATGGCTGATGGCTTTACATCCATCTCCATGCTGAGGGTTTGATGAGCACCTGATCCTTCCCAAGCTAAGGCCAGGTGTCAGTAGAAGACTCACTGGCTGCCACAGCAGCTGGCCCACGGGGAAGTGTGCTGCAGCACACAAGTGGCAGCTGCCCCACGGCACGCTGTGGCAGAACTTACGTTGGGGTGCTGCTGCTCTCCACCCCTGGGCACAGCTGCCAGCAGCTCTGCACCACTGCTGTGAACACTGAACCATTCAAGATCATCACTGGACTTAATCCATGCTGAGGCCTCAGGGTGCCTGGTCTGGAGAAGAGGGGAGGATCAGAGGAGATTTTTAAGCCCAGATCCTCTTCAGAGCCTGTTGTCCGTGCTGGACGTGGCAATGCCCAGCATAGGAGCATTTCCCTGCAGGCCTGTGATCCAAGGATGCTCTTCAGCAGCAGCGCTGAGCCCCAGCCCCGCTGCAGGCTGAGCCGGGAGCACCATCTGCCGGCTGTGAAACAGTGAGCTGGCTCACTGGAGGGACAAATTACAGGGTAATTCAGAGCTACATATGCCGCTGCATGGTCATTAGACGGCGTAGCAAATTAGAGATGAAAAAGATCAGAGAATTCTGTAAAACCATCAGCTAAACCTCCTCCTGCCTGTGTTACAAAAGGGACTCCAAACCAATCAGTCTCTCTGTACTAGAGCCGAGCAAAATTGCTTGGGTGAAAGATACCCAGTTGTAAGTTGGCTGGAGCTATTTATAGCTCCTGCAGAGCTCGTGGATGTTTTCAGCTAAAAATGATCAAAGCATGTCAATGAGCAGTTTTGTTAATAAAAAGGTTGATTTTGTTCAGTTTGAAATGTGGTTTTGTTTCCAAATATTCCTGATAATAATAATAGTATTGAGGGGAGCACAGGTAGCCTGAAAGGGAAAAAAAATATATGTCTCTGATGCAACAGCTGACCCAGTTAAGCAGCTCCCATGTAGATTTTTCTTGGGTTCTTCAGGTCTGCCAAAGACCCAAGGTAGTAATTTATACAGTGCTGCTGAGCCATCTTCCTGCTTTATCTGCCTCATCATCTGGTCTACTGAGATTCACACACCTCTCAAACTCATACCTCTTTCCCCCTCCAGATCCTAATCCTTCTGGCCAGTACAGAAGGATATCTCTGCCTTTTTTCTTCCCTTTTTTTTTTGGTCACGCCTCAAACCTTCATGGTCTGTAGGGATCAAGCACATTTCCCCCTTGAGAGGTTGAGCCCTCATGGTAGCTGGAGAGAGGCCCATTTGCAGAGCCACCTGCATTGATGCATGTGACTTTTACTCTCTGTGACCCCGAGCTTGCCTGTGGTGGCCCGAGCAAGGCTCTCTGAAGGATGATGGCCATGTGCAGGATGAGCAGTAACGTGTGGTCTGGGCTCCTGGTCCCCAAAGGGCCATGCTGGGGAATGCTGTATCTGCCGCTCCACGTGGGAGTCAGGCTTTCCTTTCAGGGGCACAGGGACAGGAGCGGGGTGTGGTTGGCGAGCAGCCAGGGTATGTTGTTAGACCTGGGAGCTCAGTATGGTCCCTCTCACCTCCAGGGATATCTCACCTCCTGCCAGCCATCCAGGAATGTGCTTTGACTTGCTCAGTCCTGCTCGTCCTAATTACATCTTCTTGGAGTACTCTACATAATTACTCTCACAGTCCTTTTTCTCCAAGCTGATCCTGCTTGTCCTTTAATGGCACACCACCTCCTCACTTTCCTTTGATTTTCATCCCCACCCCTTAGCACTTCTGTCTCTTTCCCTCTCACAGCCCTCAGCTGCCTGAGTGGATGCTGGAAAAAGATGCCCTGGACCTATACTTGCTTTCTGGACTCTCAAAAGAAATATTTTTTGGCCACACAGTGGCCTGTGCAAGTCACTGCCATGGCAAGTCAACACTATTCAGAGGGAACATCCTCTAGTACTGTAACTGAGAATATGTGATAAAGGAATCACTGTAGCACAGACTAAGGAAGAACCAGAGTTTCTGAAGTGCTCTAAGCCCACTTGCTCCAGGGCACAGCCAACTTCTATGTACCACAGCTGAAGAGGATGTTTCCCTAGAGACCTTTGCCTTTCCCTTGAAACTGGCTGCCTTGAACATCAGAGTAGTCAGATGGAGGCTGGAGCCAGCCTAGGGCACTGGAGGCTGGATCTATGCCCAAACTGCTGCTCGGCTCTAGGCATCAGTTTTTCCATCCAGTGAAATGGGAAAGGTGGGGGAGCTGTTTTGCTGAGGCACTTTGAGAGCTGCAGGTGGAAAACGCTTTGTAGCTGTCCATACCTTGAACCTTGAATCAACCCTTTATAGCCATCGCAACATTTTTATCCCTTCTGATCTGAAATAAATTTTCCTTGTTTCTTGTACACACCTTAAACTTATCTCCAGCAGCTGAAAAACAGGCTAAACATCTGAGCCTCCTGCCTTTCCCCACAGTTTGGCAGAAGGCACTTCCCACGAGATGTGTGATGGATGTGTCCAGTCACACAGTTCACTGCAGTAGGCAAGGATCCCCCTGACCTGACCCTGCATGAACCGTCAGGAGAACCTGGAAACGTGAGGATACTTCACTACGGCTAGAGGACAAACAGACCTTCTAGGAGGCTGCTCAGTGTGTATCACCCATGCAGAGAGCAGCGTTAGGGAACATAAAGGTCACAAAGTCAAGCTTACAGTGAAGAGGTCGCGTAGTCATTTGTGTGTCCTGGTGTGTCAATACCATCTTTAATGGCACGATCTCAGATTAATATAGTTAAAAACAAAATAGGCAGGCTTCTGGGCACACCAGTACCTTTCCTGCCTTTTCAGAGCAAAAATGCTCAGAAAACTTATTTGCTTCTTCCATTGTGTATCAGTCGATCTAATAAAACATATTAAATTTCCTTAGCCTTTGTTTGGCTTTGTTTCTGGAACCACTTGACTGTAGGAGCAAAATAGCACAGGACATGTTCAGTATAGGACTGAAAGCAACACACTTTCTTGGGGTGCCGGGGTGATGTTTTGACAGGCACTAGACACTACTGAAGCCACATTTAGCTGGTGCAAAAGGCAAAGTGGCAGTCAGGTTATCTGAAATCTGCTTGCTGCACTGAGAAACCAGACTTTTTCAGCTCTTTCACTGTTGAATTATGTGTGTTCCCTAGACAAGATTAACTTATTTTTATTTTGACCTCATACCTTTTGCATGTCTTTTAAAATAAGAGACTTTGAATTCCTTCTTGACCTTTTTAATGCTCTTTTTTTTTTTTTTTTTTTTTTTTTTTTTTTTTTAAAATCTGTCCTTTGGGCACTTTGCATTGAGACCAAGACACTTTTGAGATATGTGTGAGCTAGACATGGAATTTTTACCCCCACTTCTTAACCTCATTTTTCATATCTATCAGTTGCATTGGTACCTGGGTGGAAGGCAGCAAGAGCGTTACAGGCTTTATTTTTTACTCTTGCTATCATTACTTGTACAGGCTCTTTAAGGACAGTTCAGATCTTCTCTGTACTCTGGAAATTAAACCTAGACATCTTATATTAATGTTTCAGTTTGTTTTTTTAACAAACTGGAACAAACTGCCACAGCCGGTAGTAGGTTCTCTATCTCCTATCGTCCTCAAATCCCCTCTGCTACTCTTGGAGATGAGCAAATAATCAAACACACATTACAACACTTAATGCAAAGGTCAGCAGAGATCTGTATAGACCACAGGTCAGATGGAATAATATACCAGTCCTTCTGGCCATAAAATGTATTTCAGTGCTCTCTGGACTCATTTTGATAAATTTACAGAGCTTTTGTCAGTAACAATAATAAAATTTGAGGAACATTATAAAAGAATTTTGCATCCCATTTCTTTAGCGAGTACCTCAGAGAGTCTATTAAACAGCCTTTGAGAGCTGTAATTAAGTGCTTTGAAACATGTTTGGGACAGTTTTGTTTCAGCCTTTGCCTCCAGCCTCTTTGGCTTTAAAAACATGCTTGTTTCCAGGAAAACAACTATTACATTTAATTGAAATTAGAAGTTGACTGGGTAGGCTGTTGGCTCTGAAGTGCCCTGGCGCTGCTGATGCTTCTGTGAGGTTAGAGGAAGGCTTATCTGCTTCTTGTAACAGCTAATAAAAAATAAATTCCTCCTCTTTATTTTGAATCTACCTACAGTTATTTTTTTCCTCATTTTTGCAATCCATTAATTATTTTGTCTCGGATTAAAAAAAAATAGCTCACCCTGACAAACCTAGTGATGTCCTTCCTTTCCAGTTGGTCAAGACATGTCTGAAGTGTCACATGTTTTCAAAGTGCTGTTACTGCTGAACACAAGGAATGAGAAAACTCCAGTTCAGGAGTCCTGAAACAGACATTTGAAGACTTACAAGAAACAACTGGAAATCCTTCTTCTTCCTGCTATTGGAAATAAATTCCAAGTGTAGGGTGGCATCATCCCCTGCATCCCACCAGCACTGTTATGACGGGGCTGAGCCCCTGAAGGGCAGACAGCCTGTCTGCAGCCCCCCAGGTTCCCTAGGGCAGCCCCCCAGGCCCCTGCAGCTGCTCCCTACACCAGGTCTGGGACAGCATCTTCTGGCAGGGAGAGCACAGCCACTGCCAGGACTTTAATTAGGCCACCAAACCCCTTAAACTCTGCTAAATATCACAGCACTGAAATTCTATTTTGATATAATAAATAATAAAAATAATAATTAAAAAAAAATAAATAAAGGGCTTATTTCCCTCACCTTTCAGTTTCTGGGATTTTCTCTTATACTAAATGAATTTTCAAGCTTTTTCTCAGGGTACGTAACACCTTAGTTTTCAAAATGCTCATGGCTCCAGGAGCTGGGGCTTTAATTAGTGCAAATACCATCAACCTTGATGTAATAGGATGCAGCTGGGAGTCGCAGCTGGGAGTCACAACTGGCCCTGAGATCAGTTGCTGGCAGCTGCATTTTCTCCTCACCTTGGTGCTTGCAAACTGCCCAGCCACCCCTGGGGCAAGGGTAGTGCTCCGGGCAAAGGTAACGTTTTGTCAGCGGTGCCCAGCGTGCTGTGTCCTGCTCATGCCTGGCTGGAGCTCCCTGGCTCAGGCAGAGCCAGTCTCAGAGTGGGACAGCCAAAGCCTGCCTGAGAGCAAATCTCTGCCAGGCAGGTTTCCCTCCCTGAGACTGCATGACACGGGAGGGACTTTTGTCTGCCTGTGGTGGCACCAAGCAAAGCTCAGCCTCCCGCCAGCTCTGCCTGATGGCTTAGCCATGGGGTCTTGCTCCCCTTCAAATCCTGCCCTGGTCCAGCCCTTCTGCCTGGCAGCTGCACCCTGGGTGAAACGAGTTTGACTGGTCTCAGACCTTGTTTTAGCTGATTATGTCCACAGCACAAAAATCAGCTGTGCACTGTGGAGAAGGTGCTCCTATGGGTCTGGGACAGGGTGATGCAGCTGGTCCTGTTGACCCAGGGCTGGTCAGAGCTGCTGTGGCGGGCAGTGTGACAGTAACTGGGATGTCCCACCTGCCAGGAGGCACAGGCTGGATGCACCTCTAAATAGCTCCAGCAGCTCTTGGCCTGGAATAAGCCCTCACAGAGAGACTGCTGACGCTCCCAAACTAAAGACCCTCTCCCATGGACTTTGTAGGAAACCCCAAAAGCAAAAAACTAAGGGGAAATGGAAAGGGTTAGTCAGAGGCCTTTCTCCTGGGCTGAGAGCGGCATGTTGCAAAGAGGAGGTGAGAAAAAACAGCAGGTCACTGTGATGAAGGAGGCGCAGATGCAGGTAGGAACTGGCTCTGAATCCTCTTAAACTTCTGGGGGAGACTGAGGCAGAGACAATATTCACATATCTGTTTCCCAGCCTTCTCCCTGAAGCACACTGCATGGCCTCCAAGAAGTGGGCACAGGTGGTCTGAATGAAAGTCTCCCATCCAAGAGCACCCAGTACACCCCAGCCCCAGTGATGTCTCCAAGGCAGGAGGAGGTGAGGGCATGCCGAAAGCAGCCCTTCCAGTTGCCTTTGCAGGGGATGGAGAGGCAGGGCAGTGCTGGTGGAGATTGAATCTAGTGATTACTTTAAGGGATTTGCTGTCTCTTTCTTTATCCCTCTCTCTCTCTTTCTTTTTCTTTTTTTTTTTTTTTTTCTGTTTTCCCCTTTTTCCTCCCTCTTATCCCTTTCGTGGTGCATTTGTCTTCGAGGAACCTGGGGTGTTCTTTTCATCAGTTCAATCTCTCTCTGGCACTTGAGCCCTGATTGGCTGAAGGACTTAGGGAAAAAAAATCTTTAATTAAGTAGATAATCTCTTCTTAGGAAGTTCTGCGGCTCCATTTCACCAACCCCCTTTAGCTCTTACTTTGGGATTGGTTACCCTTTGCAGAAGTTGGGATTCAGGGGGCATACGCCTCTTCATCATACCAGGACTGCCGGGTGGAAAATAACTCCATCTCTTCCCTAATTTTGTTGTGTTTCTTTTTTTTTTTTTTTTTTTTTTTTTTTTTTTAATTTTCTCTGGTGGTGGTGGTACCCAAGGCTTTTTAGGACTTCCTTTCTCCCTCTTTATTTGGATTTTGTATTTCACATGGACCCTTATCTGGGCATCTTCTTCCTCACTCCTTTCTTCCAATCCTGCTGTGCCTGGTGAGTATCGAGAGCATCTCAGTCTGTGTCACAGGCAGGTGCTCTTCCCGGACACCTTAAAGAAATTCCTCTTCACCTTCCTAAATGACCTCTCTTTCCCACTTAGCTTAGTTTTGGTCTTTAATGGGGCCAGATACTTAACTAAGTCCCAACACACTCACTCATTGGCAGAGAGGTTAGATCTAAGAAAGTCCCCTTTTTCCCCTGTGCCTCCCAACAGTAACTATATAGGCTAAATCCTGAGCAGGGGTAAAATAGAGGAGAGGAGATGCAGAGGATCTAGCCCCTCGCTTCCAACTGGGAAGATAGCCCAATGGGAGAGCCAGGGATTTCTGTTTTCCAAAGGCTCACAGTTAGCTTGTCTCTTGTCTTAATCAAACCAAGTGGGGCTTCTCCTGCACTCCCTGCAGAAGACAGTCCTTGATTAAGAGCTCAGAGCCAGCAGGGGTGAGTTAGAGCCACAGGAGTGTCACTCTGGATGAGCAGCCTGAAACCCGGGCTCCTTGGCAGGCACAGGGTCAGGATTACACGTCTGAAATTCATGTATTAGGGTTTCCTGGGGAGAGGCTTTTGGTATGGAGATTGCTACGGCTTGGTTCCCAACCACCTGAGTCCCATCAGACCAGTTCCCCTGTGCACAAACCTGCAGTCATCTCCGTGGGCCTCTTGTTCTGTCCTAAGGGTGGTTTTACATTTATTTCCAGAAATGTTTTATAAGGATGAACAGAGAGATATTACACTTGCATCAAATTCATACCATTCCTTGCAGAGTATATCTGCCCAAATGGAGATGGACTCAAATGACTTGGGTCTGTAAGCTTTCTTTCCTATGTGATTTTTACTGACTACCCAAACTTTATTCTCCATTTCTGTGATGCCCTGGGGAATCTGCTCAGTGGGTTACAGACTTATCTCTAACAGCAAGGAAAGTCTTTTGCCATTCAATTATTAAAATCCCCTGCCTCCCCCATAGCAGATCTCTAGGGTTATTGCCATGGATGGAGAAAACAAAATTACAGAAAGAGAAACTCAAGAGTAAATGGGAACTCATTCCCGTAAGGCTGGGATTTAAATTTATGTTCTTTCAGAGATTTTCTACTCCCTTGATTAAAAGAATTAAACAGTTTGTATATGTCTAAATGCTATACAGTAGCAACCTCAAAATAAATCTCCCTTCTGGAACAAGGGAAATATATATGTTATGCAGAGAGGCTAGGCAAGAATTCATGCTGATTTTATATTTATTTTTCTACTCTTCCTGTGTATGTCTCTTGTTTTCCTCAATATAAGCAGGTTTAGAATGCATTAAAAGATTAAAAAAACTCAACATTTTAAAGAAACAGTTCAAAGGGCAGAAATTTCAGAGCACAAAGTAGAGTTAAATACAGAAATCCCAGGCATTTTCAATGGAAGTTGGATGTCTAAATTTGCTGTCTGCCTTTCAGAAGTTTTTATCTAACAGAAAAGTTTATAGATAGCCCTGCTTCTACCTGCATGTTGCACATTGGTCATGATTTCTTCAGAGAAAGAAAAATTGCAAACTTTATTTGAACCAATTGTATTATAACCCTGTTCCTTAACTCTTGAGGAGAAAAAAGCAAGGCTTGTGGGAATCACACTATAATCCTGTTTGCAATATTTGCTGGTCGTCTTTATCTGATCCAACAGCTTAAAACGCAACAAGATTCTTTTATCCTGTGATTTAATCATAAGAATTGGTAGTGGTGAGCAATATAGATCAACTATTTTTTTTTTTTTTTTAATATATATGTGGCCACTTCCCTTCTCTGAGTGTGGATTAGATTGGGCTGTGTCAGCTAGGTTGAATGGTCAGCATGTTTCTAGATGAGCAAAATGTTGGGGTTGTGTTTAGGAACTAAAAAACAAATAAATGTAACAAAATAGAGAGAAATTGAGAAAAAAATATTTAAAGCTCAAAATGTTAATGAGTCGCTTCCCAGTCTCATATCCTGTGGGAATAAGGTAACAATCTCTAAGGCAGCAGCTTGTTTCTAGATTTTTTTTTACAATTCAGCTGCAGGATTGCCTTTAGTTTCCAGTGTCATTGGTTTTCTAATAACTTGGGGGAGTTTGTACTTGAGAATGAAACTCAGATCTAAAGAGAAATTGTATCCGTTTTCTGTATTTACAATAATGACAGTAAAGATCTAAATACAGCTTTATAATTTTCTAAAGAGCTGAACCAACAGCACAGTAGTATCAGTGGGTGATAAGGTATCAAGCAAATACTTTAATGGGAGATTTGATAAGGTTCTTGGAGCATATTAAACTGAGGAGCGGGGTGCTGCTATTGGTTAAAGTTGTATCTGAGCAAAAATTATCAGAGGCTTATTAGAATTTGATACGTGTAATATAAAATGGGACAGTTGCTTGCCAGCATTATTTGTTTTCAGATTAAATACAACCATTATGGAGAACTCCTGCTGTAGATATGCATTAGCTTTGAGATAATTTCCTAGTATCAGACGCAATGAAAATCACTTGCCCTAGATTTGCTTTTTACCTGGATGCGTAAAGTTACAGTGAGGGAAGCAGCGTGCCCTGTATGGGCTGGGGAGGGGGCTGAAGAACTCAGTGGGACTCCTCTCTCTATCTGCTGAGGTCTGTCTCTGTTCTGCTTCAGTCCATTTCTGCTTTCCTTTACAGTGGTATGAAAAACTAGTAGAAAGAAAATACTTAAAAAAAAAAAAATCACACTACTGAGACAAAAAGGAAGAGAGATTAATTTTCATAGTGATTCCTATTTGCAGCACAGAGATGACTCTAGCAGCATTGTCAATATTGCACTACATTCATGGAACAAGTGGCTTCATTGCTCTCTGCCCTTGCTTGAGACTATATCGAGAATAGAGATGCATTTTTCTTAGTTAGATCATACGAGCAAAGACAAAGTGCACAGATTTTGTCTCCATTATTATCTTTCATTCCCTCTCAGCATAAATAAGAAAAATTTCAGCCAGCATCCAGCCATACAATAGTCCCATGTCCCCTTCTTCTGAATCTACTTGCACTTGTAAGAGTTAAATGTGGGGAGTCAAGTGTACCAATCTAAATGAATCCTTGCCTAAGTCCTACAAACCCGCCCAGCAGCGTGCCTGCCTGTTGATCAGAGAGCTCAGGAAAAATGCCTTCTGTCTCTCCGACTTAATAAAAATGTTGAGAATATCCTGCTGGGAAATTGCTACTGTACCATTTGCTCAGCTGCAGATGGTGAATTGGCATATCCTGAACTTGGCCTTTCTGTGAACCTTGAGGTTTATCCCAGGAGGAACAGATCCTCTGCTTCAATGCAGTTATGTCAATTGACACCTGCTAACAGGCTGGTTTGCTGTAAACCCTGAACTTGTGGATTACTGTCCTCCTAAAGCCACCCTTACAACTGCTCAGATGTTCCTAATCCAAGATGAGGCCAGCAAGGGTTTGAAGCAAATCCTTCCTACACACTGTGAATTTGTTTTTTCCTACCTAGGTGGGAAGCAATGCAGATGGGGTGTATCTCTTGTTTTGGACACAAAATCAAGATAAGAGAGGACATACAATTCTCCAGATCTTGCCTACACAGGGGCATTTTACCAGAGTTTTCTCACAGCTGCTACCAGGGGCTCAGATTCACACTGCCGCCATCCTGAGTGTGGTCCCCATAGCAAAGCACTTAAGGTCAAGGCAAAGGACAGGAGGGAAACCAGATGGAAAAATGACTTGTTCATGCTGCTACCCAGTTGCGTTAGGATGGGGACCCATGGAGCTTACACAGTTTGAATAGCCCCAGGATCATGGCCCTGTGTGATTCAGGTCACCCGATGCTCTAATCACCCGGCTACAGATGCTGTCTCTCCAAGTCCCAGGAAATATTTAATTAGCTGTACAATGCAGAAGCAGCTCCCAAAGGAAAATTCCTCTGCAAAACAGCCATCGACTTTGTGCTAAAGTACCCACAGGGGCTGGAGCATGGATGGGTCTGAATCCCAGGCCTGGAACAAAGGGAAAGGATCTCCAGCTCTCACAGGGCCCTGGCACAGCCCTCTCCCTCCTGTTTTGACCCAGGGGACCCTTTCCCAAAGCAGGCTTCAACAATATGGACACATTTTCACAAATAAATAATAATAATAAGAAGAAAAAGACTTGCCAGAGTGAAACTTTGCAAATTAGTTCTCTCAACTCTTTCTGAACTGCGAGTAATGGTGAAGATCAGGTTTCTTGTGATTTTGACCAAGCTAAAATAACGAGACCTCCTTTTTGTGGTGTACCTCAGAGAGGGTCACCATGAGGGCAGTTCTAGCAGAGGTGAAACAAGCTCGCTGACTGCAGGAGCAGTTTTCCAGGGCAGGGAAACATCCTCTCTAAATCTCTCATGTGTCTGATGTCTGGGCACTGGTCCTGTCACCCTGTCTGCTCCTGTGTCCATGGCAGGGCTGCAGCACAACTACACTTTGTCCCACAGCTTGGGACAGCAGTGTCTGCTTCTGCCTGCACTTGAGCCCACCCTGGGATGCCCCTGCACTCTCCATGCTGGATATGTAGCACGACAGGACAGCGCCTTTCTCTCCTTTGCCAGGGATTCCTGTGGCTTTGCACAGCATTGCTTGAAAACACACAGGGAAGAAAAATGATACCCTAACATGCCTTTCTCACATGCATCCAGCCATGGTCCACCCACCTACTGGAATTTCCAGGGAATGGAGAGGAGATAGAAAAGCAGCAGGCATTGCTGCATGTCAGGTAGCCTAACTGCAGAGTGGAGCATGCTGTTCCACTGAAGGGACAGAGTGTGGGTTAATGCTCCGTGAGGGCTATCTGAAAAGGAGAGGCATCCTCCACTGGGAGATATCTAGCATTTAAAGCAGAACATTATCTCAAGAAGAAGCTGAAAAGCCCAGTTTCTCTTGGTGCATGCTTTAGCTTTTTCCCAATCACTCACTCACTGCAAGATCTCAATCCACTCATGCCACCTCCCTGGCCTCAGTGTCCTCCTCTGGGGATAAAAGCACTCACCCATCTCTATAGAGTGCCAGGGTGCTGGCAGGGGAGACGCTCCAGAGACTCAGTGGAAACAGCGGTGAGGGGTATTTTGCAAACCTGTAGAGACTGGAATGAGGTGTTTGTAGCAGAAAGCTCCCTTTTCTTGTTCCATTTCTAGCTAGGGATATTTGGGGTTGTCTCTTGGGCCTTTTTAAAGCCTCAGTCCTTTCTGCCATGACACAGCTAAACTGGGTTTACCCAGCCATCCTTCAGATTCCTAATGGTGATCACTGCACCACATGGAGTCCTTAATACTGACTGACCATTTACACTGAAACAGTCTTCATTGTTGGAGAAAGGGACTCAGATTGGCCAGCATGGGCTCTGCTCTGCAAGCCCCTGGGGAAAGCGATGGAAACCTTGCGGTCCTTAGGGATGATCCACTTACACCTTTAGTGGGAACACCAGAAAGTTTAATTTTGGACAGGACAACCCCCATATTTGTACCTCCACCCCATACAGCGTCCAGCAGTATGAGGAGGAAAAGTGTGTTTGTGCTCAGCCAGCACCATATCACGACCAAGAAAAGAGCGTGAACAGCCAGAGCTGGCACTGCAGTAAATCAAGGGACTGTGATCCGAGTGGATGCTGCCAGGACACACACTGAAGGAGCAGCAGTGTGATCTCCTCCTTCCCTCGGTATGATCCTACAGGGAGAGCGGTGCTGGCACATGGTCCAGCTCCTGGGGCTGGGGGCAACGCTGTGCTAAGCCAAGCAGCAGTTTGGTAAGGCAAAAAGCACTACAAAAATGGGGGGATTGGTACGGGGGGGCAGCTGTATAGAGGAAAGCAAAAGGAGGGAGCTGTGAGGGGGTTGCAGCCCCGTACGGCCTTGTTAGGGGAGCAGGGACGGGGGGAAAGAGAAGGTACCATCCTGGCTCACAGGGAGTAGCAAGGTGAGACAGAAGAGACCGGAGGTACCTGCAGCCAGGAGACAGGCAGTCTGCAGGGGATAAGAAGAGAGCCTTGGGATGCCAGGCATTCTCCAGGCCCCACTGCCATCACCCCCTCCCTGCTGACACTGTCTCTGTCTTCCAGGTCAGTGAATAATTTCCTGATGACGGGCCCCAAGGTAAGAGAAATCCCTTTGATCTCTTTCCTTGATTCCACTAAACCCAGGGAGGGAGGGAGCAGCTCCTCCTTCCCACTCCTCTCCATCCAGCCTTGTCCAGAGTTCCCCTCAACCCCAGGTTTCCAGCAACAAGGCAGATGAGGGCCAGGAGCAACGTGCTAGGAGCTGCAGTTCCTTAGGCTGTGTCAGGCATGAGCAAAGTTGGCCTGGGGTCCTTTTAAGCCGGTTGATGGCAGATTTTGGAGATTTGTCTATTGGCACCAGCTGGGTCTCTCACCTGTCATCTATTTCTTCCTCATGATCAGGTTAGCATCAAGACTCACATTCACTGAGCTTGAAAGATACTTTTTGCAGGCCCTGCAAGACATACTTCCCTGAGGAGCACAAATGGAATACCCAGGACTATGCTCAGTATTTTTGACCCCCTGCCTCCTTGTGCCTCTCATTCAGAGGGTTTTTTCCCCTGCTAGGACCATTTGTAAAATTCACTCAATTTTTATTCTGGATATTCCCCAGGAACACCTCCAAGCCCATCTAGCTATTTCTACAGCTCTCAATACCATGGTGGAGCGACCTTGCCCCAAAGCACTGGATGTCCCCCTGGGGCAGTGGTGAAGGAGGAGGCAGGCTGAGGAACCTACTGGCCTGGAGCTGCCTGGTCTCTGAGGAGAAAGCTCTGGCTCCCCTTATGCTGGAGAGATAAGGGGTTCCTCAGTTCAGGGGCTGGCTGGCACATCTCCTAACATGGCTAACAGCCAGCAGCTCAGCCTTTACCCCCTGGGAGGTTCAGGCTCTGACCCAGCACAGCAGGAAGTGCATTTGCTGCTGCTGGTGGCAAGCTCCCCTCCCCAGGGGAGCCAAGCCTGAGAGATCTTCTCAGCTCTGTACATCTTGTCCCTGTAAGATGGCATGCAAGTTATTTTCAGTTGAACGCCAGCCTCCTGGGGAGCCTGAGGCCATGTTCTTCCTGTTTGCACTGTGCTTCTTTATCCATCTAGACCTCAAAGCAGCAGGGCCCACAATATGCAGTGCAGGGCAGGAAAGCTACACCTGCATCAGCCCCACTACTGTGTGGGGAGCGGCTGGGGCTACACCAGCTTTGCACTGCCAGGGGTGGAAACTAGGGCTGCTGAGTGACCCTCCTGGACCCTGGGAGTAACCTGGGGCCATTCCCAGCCTGTCATGCACAGGGCTATTCCTGTATGCTGGTCAACTCATACTGAATCCGTTTTGCAAGTTGATGCTGGGGGGGCTGAAGCAGGGTACACACCGTCCCCACTCCTGACTCATTGCTCTGCTCCTAGGCCTATCTCATCTACTCCAGCAGTGTGGCGGCTGGGGCACAGAGTGGCATTGAGGAGTGCAAGTTCCAGTTTGCCTGGGACCGCTGGAACTGCCCCGAGAGGGCACTGCAGCTCTCCAGCCACGGCGGGCTGCGTAGCGGTAAGAAAAGTATTGGATACCACTAGTGGGACCCACTCGCTACAGGTTAGAGCCTGTGGGGCCCTCCTTTCTTCCCAAGAGCCTCCTTTTTTTTCCCCGTCCCCACCTGAGATATGCCTCTCCCGGGAATGCTCCTGAGGGATCTTTCCAGGAAGCCCCTTCACCCGCCAGCTCCCAGGCACACGCTGGGATCTAGCTACAAGGCAAGACAGCCTCGCAATGCCAGCATCTCCTCCAGATCTGCCAAGCCCCAGATTGTGCGGGACAGGAGTGTCCCACCAGCCCTCACACAACTGGCTCCCCACAAGGATGCACCACCATGACCTGCAGCGTGGGCTGCTGGACATGCCATGCCTAGGTGGTGTCTCTCGCCAGGGTGTCCCAGGGAAGCTGAGAACCAGCATGGGGTGGTGGTGGGGCAAGCAGAGGGAGCAGGAAATAGTTCATCAGCAGCTGTGCTCTGGCCAAGAGGTGGGAGAAAAGTCTTTCCACAGCTTTCAGTTGTCAGAGTCACCTTGGGCAGAAATCCAGCATCCATGACCTTTGCCACTGTGAGGTACGGGGCCTTAGTCATTGTCAGTGTATCCCATTCCTTACCTGTTTGCAGGTGCCAGGAAAAGTCTCAGTGCATACCTGGTCCTCTAGACCCATGTATGATGGTGGTCTGAGCTCATACCTGCCCTGTACAGGCAGGAGCTGGGTATGAAGGAGAGCCTCAGGCCTCTAGTGGGACTGGCAGCAGACAAGGGACCAGGGCCCCAGGCAGAGGTGGACACAGGTTTCAAAGTAGGGCCTTGAGGAGGCAATTGCAGCACAAAGCAACACTCTGGGACTTGGAGCAGGTCCCTGAACTGTTCCGGTCAAGGTTACGTGCTCAGACCCAGACTGTGCTGGTATTAAATGAAAGCCAAAGGGTCAGTGAAGCCAGATGATCACCACACCGATCCTGGTGGGTAGGAATGGTCACTGCTCTGAGTCCTGGACAGTGACCAGCAGAAGGTAAGACTTCAGGAGGCTGTGGCAATGAGCTCTTTGATTCTTGGAGAGGGCTCCTTCCTCTCTGGGGTGTATTAGTGAGACATGGGGGACATCTGGCTGTCTGTGCTGCATCCCCACTGCTGAGCTCCCACAAGGACAGCCAGATGCTAAACTCATCCACATCATTGGAAATGGCAAGAGTCAGTCTGGGTTGAATTTGGGAGCTTCTGTCTTCATGCAGTTCAAGCCAAAACTAAGATAATCTGACACGTAGGGCCTCCTCTCCACCCCACAAAGCCTTGCCCATTTCAAATCTCTTCCTACACAGCCTCCTGCATGGCAGGAGTTGTTTCTAACACTGGTCTCACTGTGAAAACTTTGGTACATCTGCTCTCCTTGTATTCCTCTTTGACAGCAAACAGAGAAACCGCTTTTGTCCATGCCATCAGCTCTGCAGGCGTCATGTACACGCTGACCCGGAACTGCAGCCTGGGGGATTTTGACAACTGTGGCTGTGATGACTCCCGCAACGGACAGCTGGGTAAGGAGAGATGAGCTGCCGTCCCTCTCACATCCCAGGTAGCTGGAGACAGCTCTTCTCCCTTCCACTGAGGCCTGCAGACACAACTCCTCCTCTTGGTCCCCACACCTGGGAATAATGCCTGGCTCAAACCAAAGTAGCTCTGTGGAAGCTAATGGGGCCACCTCCAATTTGCACCAGCTGAGGCTGAGCCCTTGATGTTTTCCATTATTTTCTGAATGAGCAGGAAAGTAGAAGGGGTTTGGAGTTTCCCTGGTTCAAACCAAGAACAACTCTGCTTAAGTTGCTGGAGAGAATGTATCATACAGGCAGAGGAGAGGATCTGATGCTGTGCATCTAAATGGCAGGTCTGGTTAGAGCAGCACTGATCAGGGACCTTGGGGCTTCCAGGGTCTGCAGGACCAGGGTGGCCCCAGAAGAGAATTATCAGGAGGGAAAGCAGGGTGGCATTCATAGACCCCTCCAGCATTTGTCAGTGTGGCAGGCACACGAGGGCACAATCAGGAGAACTGCTGTGGCAACACACAGGCTTCACCCAGTTCCTGTCACAGTAGTACCCAGGCCCACAGTCACTAAGCACCCCTGAGTGGGCAACCCCAGGCTGCACCACTCTAGCTCTCCACTCAGCTTGCACAGAAAACACTGCTATTTTGGTCTTTTGTTTTTAATGGAAAGAGGTCAAATTTCAAATTCTAAAAATCTTTTAAAAGCCATTCCCTGCCCAGCTGCACTGGGCAGTCGGTATGTTTCAGTTTATGACAAACTCCTCTGGTGTGTCCAGTGTTTGGTAATTTGCTTTATTGGCTAGTAGTTTTTAAAACAGCCATTGCTTCTTAGGTGTCCAAGGCGTGGGAGAGCCCATCTCTAGCAGAGCAAGACTTTTGGGCAATGACACACCAAATTTTGTCTTCTTTGGAAAACTGAGTTAGTCATGCTATACTTCTTTTCCCCAAAACATATCTGTTTTTCATGAAAATTTTCCATTGTGAACTTAAAACATTGGAAGGCAAAGGAAACTTTTGGACTTGTCCAAAACAGTGTGATTAAATTCTAAATGCCGTTGCACTGAATCCAAGTTGGTAAAAGGTTTCCATTTTCCCTTTGGCCCCAGCTTTTGATTTGACCTTCATCATTTGCTGCAATTTCCCACCTCCCATGAGACATCCCTGCCTTTCCCTGGGAGAGGGGACCGCGATGCTCTGGGGAAGTCCAGGCAAAGGCTGGGCCTTTCAAGAGAGGCAAAAGGCCATTAAACCACAATTCCCAAGATGTACCGCCAAGGCATGTTAGGGTCAGAATGTTCCAGATTTCAAATCTTCATAAAGAATTTGGCATTTTTCTCTAGGAGATAAAAAAACAAACTGCATGACATGTTTCCAGACAGCCAAGCTAAGTTATCAAGCTCCCACACAGTTAGGAGAAGCACCCTCCCGATCTTGCCGTACAGTTTCCCAGTTCTGTGCTGACTCCTTTGTTTCTTTATGGTAACTGGGAAATCAGACCCTTCTGAGATGCTAAACATCATCCCAGGATTCTGGGTGTACCAAAAAGAGGGCATCCTTGATAGATGTGTACCAGGCTTGGGTTGTTTCCAGGAGGAGGGGAACGTGTTCCCTCTGACTGGGATACCTCCACTAATTTGCTAATCCATGTTAGCAAGATGCTCTGCCTTCAAGTCAGACTGAACAAGCTCAAGCCAGTGTTTGAGGGAATGTGATTAAAGACCCAAAGCCTTATCTATATGGCTGCTAATGCATGATAATTAACAGTTTCTGAATCCTGCTCTATAGAAAGCATGGAAATCCCCGGGTTTCTCACACAGGACATATCCCTTCGCTGCCTGCATGAGTCATTTGCTACCCAGGCCTCACTAGAAATGGCATAAGCCCAAGTGGAGGAAATTTGGGAGTATCGCAAGGCAAAAGACTGGATTTGCCCCACAGCTTCCACTCTCTCCCATCACCTCTGAGACCCCTTCTTGTCCCCAGAGCCACAAGCCAGGCAGGTGAGCAGCTGGTTCCCTGACAGCACGCATCTCATCTCCTTTCCTAGGGGGACAAGGCTGGCTGTGGGGAGGCTGCAGCGATAACGTGGGCTTTGGGGAAGCCATTTCCAAGCAGTTTGTGGACGCCCTGGAGACTGGACAAGATGCCAGAGCTGCTATGAACCTGCATAACAATGAGGCGGGTAGAAAGGTGAGCCCCTCTCTCCCTCCAGACCTGACAGCACACACCAGATTAGTGCTGGCCATTCACTGTGGAGAGTCACAACTTGCTGTGGCTAAAAGCATGTGTCCAGAAGAAACAACTACTTTGCTGAGAAGCGGATGGCAGCAGTACTGACGTGATGGGCGGTGTTCTAAGCTAGCAAAACTTTTGTGATTACACTGTTAATGGCTTCCTGCTGTCCTCTTTTTCCCAGTTCAAGTAGGGGAGTGCTGTGGAAAAGCAAATCTGTGAGCTTTAAGCCAACAGCCGCTGGGCAAGACTACTGCACAGGGAGTGTCGATGGCAAACCCTTCCACAGGCCTGGAGCCATGTTTCTCCAGGCACTGCAGCACAGAAATGGCCCCTCTGGGATTTTTCCTGAATCCTCTCTCTCTCCTCACCCTGTAGGCCGTGAAAGGGACCATGAAGCGGACTTGCAAATGCCACGGCGTGTCGGGGAGCTGCACCACCCAGACCTGCTGGCTGCAGCTGCCTGAGTTTCGGGAGGTGGGCACTTACCTCAAGGAGAGGTACCACAAAGCCCTGAAGGTAGACTTGCTGCAGGGGGCAGGGAACAGTGCTGCTAGCCGGGGCGCCATCGCCGAGACCTTCAGCTCCATCTCCAAGAAAGAGCTGGTCCATTTAGAAGACTCTCCTGACTACTGCCTGGAGAACAAGACACTGGGGCTGCTGGGCACAGAGGGCAGGGAGTGCCTGAAGAGGGGAAAGGCACTCAGCAAGTGGGAGAAGCGGAGCTGCCGGCGGCTGTGTGGGGACTGTGGGCTGGCAGTAGAGGAGAGGCGAGCTGAGATGGTGTCCAGCTGCAACTGCAAGTTCCACTGGTGCTGTGCTGTACGCTGTGAGCAGTGCCGCAAAAGGGTCACCAAGTACTTCTGTGTCCGCAAGGAGAAGCGGGAGCGGAGTGGGGGTGGTGGGGCCACCCGCAAGCTCAAAAGAAAGCTCTAACTCGCCTCTGCTCCTCCAGGGTCCTGTCTGCCCCTCTCCTCTTCTGCCCTCCCCATCAGCCCCCCCCCACCATTTCCCTTTGGCTTAGTTTTGTCTCATTTCCAATGCTGCCTCACTGGGGCTTGGGCAAGACAAAAGAACTTGCATGAGCCCCTAGGACTTGGCCATGCAGGGCATTTCCCATTAGTGCAGTGAGTGATGACTGGGAAGACCCTCAAGTGTTGACAAAAGAAGGTGAGATTTGGTCCCTTCAACTCAGAGTCGCTCTATCTAGTGACTATGGTTTTATCGCTGAAAACACAGGTGGTCTTGGTGGCTCCTGCGCTTTTGAGCTTGTCTGTTCCCCAAACAAGCACCTACTCTGGGCTTTTGAGTAAGTGAGATCCAGCACAAGGAAGCTGAGGTGGCACCACCAGAGCTGGGCAACTCAGAGTGGTAATCCCTAAGACAGAAGAGGCTTCTAGTAACCTAGAAGAATAGAAGAACTAAAATAAAGTTTTCCTTGCCTGTTATTAAGCCCTACACAATGAGGGAATAGAAAAGGCATGCAGTGCTTCTTGAAGCAAGACAAGCTCCAGGAAACCCACAGCATCACTTCCCAGTCTTTGCTAAGATCTCCAGTGCTTTACTTTGCATTTGAGACGGCAGCAGCAAGATTGAAGCTGCTAGCTGAACTGCTCATTAAACAGCTGTCCAAAATAGGAGTCCCATCACTTGCTTTTTACACACTTTACCTGTACCTTCTAAGTTCCGGGTCTGTTCTCACTTTTCACCCCAGCATCCTTGCCAAATTGATGCCAGAAAGATGCCCTCACACTTCTCCAGTCCCTCTTTCCTCCCAGATCTCTTCCAGAGAGGAGCTGCCAGCTGAGCCCATTCCCCATCTCCTGGCGTACTTGCCAAGCACTCTTACTGTGTCAGCTAACTAACTAAATACTTCCTCCTAGTCTGAGAAAATAATGTCAGTTACTATTTAATGGTGTTGTAAATAGGAAAGTGAAGCACTTTGAAGTTTAATTTATTGCACAGTTACTGTAATGTATACATAACAGTTTTTCCTCTACCACTTATTGTATATATTCTATAGGCTAAGCAAGCAGCAGGAAGATTTGGTTGATGCATCTCTGTTCCCTTGCCATGGTTGGGGTAGGGAGGGAAGAAGTTGCCAGCTGCAGGACCTGGGGAAGCTCACTGCACCATCACAGTGATCTCCCCAGGACTGTGATGTTATCATCTACTTCGCTGTTTGAAGTGTTCTTTAGCCAGATGAGAAGCCAGCAGAGCTAAGTTACTGGCCATTAGACCTGTCTTGTAGCCAATATTTGTAAACCAATAGCCAATGCAATAAATCAGTAGCCAAGTGCTTGCAAAATGCTGTTGTGTCTAAGTAGTTGGGTGTTTTTTTTTTCATCTAGCTGCATGTATGGATGTATGTAGTTACAGCTCTGGAGCCTAAAACCCAGCTGCTTACCCATCTGTTGTGCATCAGAAGAGCTGACTAGTTCCCTCCACGCAGCACAACCCTGGCCCCTAGGAGGAGGGGAAAGGCCCTGCTCTCTCCTTGAGTTTGCGTCCAACTTCAGTGCAGCTGCCAGGAAGAAAGGGGGTATGAGGGGGGCAGACAGGGACCCAGTTGACTGCTTCAGAGATGAAACATTAAAGACACTTATCAGTCTGCATGTCTCTCAAGTTATCAAATACTCCCTCAATCCTAGGACTACTTTGTCGCAGGTAGGAATTTGGACCTAGGGCAAGCTGGGGTCTTACCAGAGCAAGAGTATTCATATCAAGCAAGAATCTGGCCCTTCAGAAGTTGCAAGAAACAATGTTGGCCCATTCTTAGGGAAACCTGAAACACTTCCACTTCACACACAAACCACCAGCTGTTCGTACAAAGGTTCTTATTAATACAGTGATGCTGCCCTTGGTTTCCCTTGCACCTCCATCAGCAGGTCCTCCATCTCCCTGTGGTGGGAATACATCCTTGGTCAGGAAAGCAAAGAAGTGGCAAAAGCCTCTTACACAGCAGGGAAAGCTGTAGCATGAGCTGGCTTGAGGACCACTGCAAGGCAGAGAGGATAGCTTCTAGCCCCTTGTCCCTCTGCACCCCCCATCCCATGGCCAACTGGAAATGTAAAAAAAGGAGAAGATGTGGAAGCTGTTTTCCATTTCCTTCCCCTCCTCAGCGCAGAGCAGGCTGTGCTACCCTGTCCCTCCTCTACAGACATTATTGCCCCACATGGCTGCCCTGTGAAGGCCGTGGCACAGCCCAGGATGTGCCCGCTGGGCACAGTGATGCCTGTTGGTGAAAGGGACATGAGAGGAGCATTATAAGCGTGAGGCCCGCCGCTGCATGCTTCTTTCTCTGGGAGAAAATGGCGACACCGCAGCTGCAAAATGTGCTGACCTCAGCAGTGGGTCGGGGCCGGAGGGGTCCCCCCTCCCCAGCACAAGGAGCCCTTAGTGGTAAAGGCCCTGCTGCTATTGTGTGGCAGGATTGGATGCTTCCATGTATTCATTTCGGTTTAATGAAGGCGCATTCCTCAGAGGAGAAATATTTACATTCAGCTTCCCAGGTGGTCACCTTCACCCAGATGACACACAAACAGGCAGCCCCCCACTCCCTTTTCCAATCCAAACCTCTTTAGAGGGCTCAGGGAGGAGGGGAGCAAGGGGAGGGGGGGCTGCTGGGGAATAGAATAGAGAAGGGAACAAAATGCTAATAAATCAGCCAGCCAGCCCTTTTCCCCTCCCCTCTGTGGAGTCAATGGAAAGTGTCATTTCACATGCTAATCCCCCTCCGCTCTCTTCACAACACCTTTTCCGAAAAGTGTTTGGGAAAAGTCCTTGTGGCCCGTTTACAGCTCCCTGCCGCTTCGGATTCCTTCTTGTCTAAGGCCGCGCCCCGTGTGGGTCTCTCCCTCCAGCAGGGCTCCTTACAAAAAAAATCTCAACAAAGACTTTGGAGTTCATCAGCCTCCCACTGAAATTCACAGCTGCTGAACAAACTAATCCCCTCTCTTGGCCTTTCTTCCTTTCAATGGGTTCTTGGCTTCAAAGACACTTTGGGAAAGGACTTTGTGGGGACTCACACTGCTCCCTCAATAGAAGTTAGTGCAAGCATTATCTTCAGAGTAAGTGGCTTTACAAACAAATACTGCCTAACAATCTCTGCCCCTCCAGCTCCCCCAAACACACACAAGCCTAGCCTGCAGACATGATGTTATCTGCAACAGGATTAGAGCTCTGTTCTCTGTGTCCAAGGATCCTTTCCTACCACCCCCCCCAATTCTTTGTTAACCCAAAGGCCTTCTCACCTAACAGAAAACACTTTCTCTGTTGAGTGGCACAGGGATGCTGTGGTACCATGTGCCTACATGGGAGGAGGTAACACTGAGGAGCCACTGTCTGTAGACCAGAAGCTGGTACCAGCCAGCAGAGATAGTGCTACAAAAAGAGAAGCACTTTCCAGTGGGGCTTGCGAGGACATATACTACACCAGGGCCCCAGAGATGGAGCTTCTGCCACAAGCCTCTCAAAGATCCTCAAGTGGGTCACCTCACTTCCCTGTGCCTCATTTCCCTACCAAGAGTTTTAGGGACTTGCTGGGGTAAACCTGAAGCAAAACTGAGCAACAGTGGGACAAAGGGGCAAGGAGGAAGAACTCACAGCAAAGGAAAGATAAATAACCAGTCTCTGTGTGAGTCCATGGGTAGCTGTGCATGCTGGAGGGAACTAAAGTCTAATGCATCTGAGAAATACATGGAAAATCCATGCTTATTTCTCAGTGGTACGAGTGGGCTGAGTTAAAGAGAGGGGCTGGATTGCACAGGGTACTGCAACTGGATCTAGGAACACAGAATCTAAAAGATAGTAAGCTTGTTAAATGACCTCAGAAAGCTAGGACTTTCCTTATATACTTGTTAAGCAAATGCTGCCTCCAGGGCTACCTGCTCACTTGCACAGCATCAGAAGGGGTGATAACACAAATGCTGCCTTTGAAAATCAGCTTGCATCTCTCTGATGGAGGACAGCTGGGAGGCCAGACTGGTTGTTAACTTATCCCAAGATGGGCTGCAAAAGCTCTGCAAGACTCCCTTATGCTTGGTGTTTGCCTCTGCCAGCTGCAGAACTAACAAATGCTGTTTTTTCCTGAACACATGCTGTGTCCATAATACCCCATAACTCTCATAAACCATGGTCCTTCCCAGCAATGGCCCTTCAAATCTTCCCCATTCAAACAATCTTTCTCCATCCAAACAATCTTTCTCAACCTTTACTTCCTCCTAAGTCTTCCAATCACAAGCCAGGTAAGAGAGTCCTGCAAATTTCAGTTTCATGTGTACTGACTGGCTGCCCTGTACATATATATTAGCTAGCCAGCGAAAAGAAAACAAAATTTTTTTGAGATTACTTCAATCTTTTTGCAGAAGCTAGTTGGATTCCCCCCTGACTTTATCTCAGTACCAATGTTTCACTTCAGCCTTACCTCCTTAAAAGCTTAAAGGAAATCAGCCAACAGATTCAGAAGTTATTAACTAATGATAAGAACTGATAATTCAATAGTATAAATCTGATTTCCACACAGGTCAGATCCTCATCCTTAAGTGGCATGGCTTCAGTGGTGTAACACTGATTTCCAACACGAGAGGATCTCATTAAGGGCTCCCTGTTTACTTACTGACATACTCTCAACTCCCAATGTCAAGTGTAAAATCCCCAACAATGCTGTGATTCCCCAGGAGAACCTCAGTCATCCCAGGGACCTTCTTGTGTCTGATGCAGACAAACAGTCACAACTGAGATCGGTGATCTGGAGATCAGTTCTCTGACCCTGCAGCCTTAGGGAGTGGGTGAGGCCTGAGTCTCTACACCAGGACAGTTGCTGCCCACACCAGCAGAGCCCAGAATCTGGTTTGCCCCACACTGTTCTCAGTTGCCCCCCTCACCAAAGCAGAGAACTCGGCTCTCAGTGGGTGGCCCTGAAGACTGAGGAAGTCCCCTGTAGCCAGAGGGGACAAGCCTACAAAAAAAAAGCTAGCAGCATCACAAAACACAGCTTTTATTTCACTGTTCTGTAATCTCTCAGTGCATCAAACCGCAGCAATAGAAACAACACAGCAGCAACAAGGAGGCACTTTGACCTGGAAAGGAGAGAATGAGACGTGTCCTCTCCCTCCCTTCTCTGATTCTCCTCCCTCCTAATTCTCATGGTAGAGCAGGCTGATTCGTATAAGTCACTGAACCACAGGCCCATGATGGAATTATCACTCAAGCAGCAAGCAGAGGAAACAGGGGCTGGCTGCAGCCAAATGTCAGGAAGAAGCCTTACTCCCAGCTCGGGCCCAAGGATTATGCTGCTTTGTTAGCATGAAAGGGGATGAGAGAGAGGAAGGCAAGGAGGGAGGAAAAGAGGAAAAGACACACACACAAATGTGCCCTAAAATCCCATCTGCCTTCCCAGACTTCTTCCCCAGGACAGATATGCTTCATTCATCTATTTTAACCAAGAGGAAATGCCAGAGTGATGAAAAGCCTCAGCACAGCCATACCTGCAAGACCTGACAGCATCACCTCCTGCAGCATATTCCTACCACCATAGTGCCAAGGGGCCTTTGAGAGCCACTTCTGCACATATCTGTTAACACAAGCAGAATGAATGTACCACACTTGGAGCAATGAGCTGTCTCCCCCTACTCAAGTCTGTGCTGGTCAGAGTAGCTCGCGAGGATTCCTTATGGGACCTGAACAATTCCTGCTGCTCTTAAAGTCCCTAGACTGTCTGAAGAGCCTGATGTAAGAAGCCTTTAGATAACACCAGGGAGAAAAAGGCTAACTGTGCTAACACCGAGGAAGTAAAAAAGGCCAGGAGCCAGAGCGAGTGGCTTTTAGCCCAAATCCAGGATGTGACCAGCTCTGGGGAGAAGTGCACAGAACAGTCCAACCTGCTAGCATTCCTGAATCAGAGAGTCCCTGGAATTGGAAGGGGGGAACCAGCCCTAGGCCTGAAACATGAAGGGCTCAAGCCTGCAGCTTATGGGGGAAAAAGATATAAACGAGGGTGGATAGAGGATAAACAGGAGACTCGACTATGAAAAGAGGGCTGGGTGAAGAAGAGAGAGAACCAAAGCTAGCCCAGAGCAGTCTGTTAGTCCTAGTGGTAGCAGGATATGGGTGCAGAGGAGTGAGAAGGCGAGTCAAGGATGAGAATGAAGAGAAAGGAGGAACCAGAGGAGGGATCCTCACTGCAACTCAACAGAGCAGGAACACTCCATCTTAGGTCCCAAGGGAGCCCAGTTATCACTCGGGCAGTTTACACTGCAGCAGGGAATAGAGCCTGAGGCTCTTCTGTCTGGTGGCGCTGCAGGTGCC